CACGCTACCTCTCTCCCTCAACTCTACACCCCTCTCCCTCTCCTCTCTTCCTACACCTTCTCCCCTCCTCCTTCCCACCCCTCCCTCCCCTCCTCACATCTACACTCTCTCCCCTCCTTCTCACCCCTCTCCCCTCCTCCTTCTACACCCCTCTTCCCTCACCCTTCTGCACTCTCTCCCCTCACTTCTGCCCCCTCTCCCCTCCCTTTCACTTCTACACCTCCCCTCACTTCTCCACCCCTCACCTCTCACCCCTCTCCCCTCCTTCACCCCACCCTCTCCCCTCCTTGCCCTCTCCCTTACTCACTTCTACACCCTCTCCCCTCATTCCTTCCTCTCTCCCCTCACTTCTATACCCCTCTTCCCTCGCTCACTTCTACACCCCCTCCCCTCACTTCTACACCCTCTCCCCTCACTCACTCTACACCCCCTTCCTTCACTCACTTCTACACATCACCATATTACATACACCTCACTATATCACACACACACACCTCATCATCTTCAAGGATAAGGTACAATCCAATGTAGCGGATCATGACGGAATCTTACAGGTATGGCAGGACTTCCCAAGATGTAATAAGTCTCACACCTGCTTAAGATCAACATGTGGGGCTTAGCAAAAAATCATCTCATGCCGGAACTCACGAATTCACAATGACGCTCAACAGGATGATCGAGTGGCAAGAAAATCGTTCAACTGTTTTGACCTTTCGAATGTAAATCCAAACTGGTGGGTGAAGAGAGGTGAGCTAACACCTGTGATGGTCTCTATTCCGGATCACTGACAGGTGAAGAGTAATTTATACCTGAAGGAGGAGCACCAACCTGACGGGGGCCCCTATGTTGGCACGACATTGATGAATTAGGGTAATTCTGTGTTGTTTATGGGTACTTCTTCCCTTCCAAACAAATAAACAAGGATATAAGCAAGGAAGAATAATTTTTTTTCCTTACAAGAATGTTATAAAGTACCACGAAGAAGCGGGTTCAGTATGATTCTTCACTTTGCATCAATTTCTCATTCTAAGTCGTAATTTCCGTGAGTGTTCTTGTCTCTCAAGTCGTCGATGGCCTCTTACCATCCCTCAAGAGGTTGTGAAATCTGGGGTGATTGATGGGTCAGGAGCCTGGTCTCTCCCCACGTCATCTGGAGGAGCTCTGGTGATGGAGGTTATGTTTTAATGGGGGTTTTGGGGCTCAATCTTGGTCTGAAGTATTTGTTATGCATTGTAAGAAACTCAACTCTCCACACGCACACACACACACACACACACACAGAGGGAACAATAAGGCAATAAGGCAGACGATAACCCATGGCGCTTAACTCCTCTTAAAGAGATTATTTTCCATGCTAGGGTGAAGAGAGGATTTAATAGGGGAAAATTACGATTAACATGAAATCTATAGCTTCTCGTGGATTACCTGTCACTTGATGCAGAGGGGTGGAGGATACAGTCAAGAAGAAACAGATAATTACAGATGAGATATTGAGGATGGAAGGGGAGTGAAGATTTCCGGGAATAAAGCACAGTAGAAGTTGGGAGAACCTTTACACATAAGATACAAGGTCAACAATATCAATTATCAGATGGAGTTACGTGAGAAGAATAACATTGAATTGTTATGGTAAAAAAAATCACTAAGTTGGTGAAGAAAAAAGTGAAATTATAAAAATATTAAAAATACAATTTAAGCGTCTTGAGAAATGCTGAAAAACTTAAGATTAACTTTTATATACCTGTTACAGCCCCTTGTGTCTGTACCTGTTACAGCCCCTCGTGTCTCTACCTGTTACAGCCCCTTGTGTCTGTACCTGTTACAGCCCCTCGTGTCTGTACCTGTTACAGCCCCTTGTGTCTCTACCTGTTACAGCCCCTCGTGTCTCTACCTGTTACAGCCCCCTTGTGTCTCTTACCTGTTACAGCCCCTCGTGCCCTACCTGTTACAGCCCCTTGTGTCTCTACCTGTTACAGTCTCCTTGTGTCTCTAACACCTGTTACAGCCCCTCGTGTCTCTACCTGTTACAGCTCCGTGTCTCACCTGTTACAGCCCCTGTGTCTCTACTCTGTCACAGCCCCTCGTGTCCCCCCACCTGCCACAGCCCCTTGTGTCTCTGCAATTCGTTACAGCCCCTGTGTCTCTACCTGTTACAGCCCCTCGTGTCTCTACCTGTTACAGCCCCTTGTGTCTCTACCTCCGTTACAGCCCCTCGTGTCTCTACAGCCCCTCGTGTCTCTATCTACCTGTTCTACACAGCCCCTTGTGTCTCTACCTGTTACAGCCCCTCGTGTCTCTACCTGTTACAGCCCTCGTGTCTCTACCTGTTACAGCCCCTTGTGTCTCTACCTGTTACAGCCCCTTGTGTCTCTACCTGTTACAGCTCCTCGTGTCTCTACCTGTTACAGCTCCTCGTGTCTCTACCTGTTACAGCCCCTCGTGTCTGTACATGTTACAAGCAGATAAATTTCCAGGAAAAGAATTAGACTCACCTGAAGCTTTAGACAACTCTGTTTATTTCACATGATGATTAATCACCCCAAAACTAACCTTATCTAACCTAATCAGCAGTTGAAATAATCCGGGGGTCTAATCTTCACGTGATCCGAAAATTACTGTAGAAAAATATGTAAAATAAAATAATCAGGAGACGATAACAAACGAACCCAAATTTAACGTGAAAAAAAATGTTCTGTAATATATTCTGAGAACCATGGCGGATATAGCTGTCAGGCTGCAGGAAGTTGAGAAGGCAGGACGATGATAACAAATAGCTGAGGAGGAACACCAGCGAGAGATAATAAATGGTACAGCGTGTGTCAGAGAGAGAGAGACAGAGAGACAGACAGACAGAGAAACTTACACATGAAACACAGGTGAGGAAGGTGTTGTGGGGGGGGGAGGGGGGGGTGTGAGACACTTATAATACCTGTGAGTGACATAACAGGTGAGCAGTATCACGGGAGAACACACTCAGGGCTTATCGAGTTAAATACAATTGCTTTATCTTCCTCTGCATAAATGGTTGTCGATGATGCATGTAGAATATGAAATGTATTTGGAACGTAAGTAAATGGACTGTTTGGTGCTGGCTTCGGTCTCTCTCTCTCTCTCTCTCTCTCTCTCTCTCTCTCGATCTTTCTTTCTTTCTTTCTTTCGAGGGAATAAAATAAGTAAAAAATTATCTTCTTTCTCTTTCATTCTCTGTTGAATTATATTAATTTTACCTTTATCAATTTTCTCTTCAATGAACAAAATTAATTAACTTTACCTTTCCAACTCTTTCTTCTCTGGTTTAATCAATTATCTCTGCCTCTTTTTATTCTTCCTTTCTTTATTCCTCGTCTTTCTTGCGTCATTAATGTACAAGATGGATGACTCAGTTGGTAATTTCAAGTGAGGAGGCAAGAAGTTACGTCACCAAGATGAGTTAACACTGTGAGGAGGAGGAGGGGGATGGTGGAGATGGACTGAAGGGCGAGGAGGAAGGTGGAGATGGGACGAGGGAGAGGTGAGATGGACTGGAATGGACTGGAGGAGGTGGAGATGGACTGAAGAGGGAGAGGAGGAAGGTGGAGATGGACTGAAGGGGCGAGGAGGAAGGTGGAGATGGATGGGGCGAGGAGGAAGGTGGGATGGGAACTGAACTGAAGGGGAGGAGGAAGGTGGAGATGGACTGAAGGGCGAGGAGGAAGGTGGAGATGGACTGAAGGGGGAGGAGGAAGGTGGAGATGGACTGAAGGGCGAGGAGGGAAGGAGATGGACTGAACAGGAAGGTGGAGATGGACTGAAGGGCGAGGAGGAAGGTGGAGATGGACTGAGGGGAGGAGGAGGAGAGGTGGAGGAAGGTTGAGAGGGCGAGGAGGAGGTGGAGATGGGAACGAGGAGGCGAGGAGGAGGTGGAGATGGAATGAGGGCGAGGAGGAAGGTGGAGATGGAATGGAGGGCGGGAGGAAGGTGGAGATGGAATGGAGGAAGGTGGGAGATTGGGGCGAAGGAGGTGGAGATGGACTGATGGATGGAGGGCGAGGAGGAAGGTGGAGATGGAATGGAGGGCGAGGAGGAAGGTGGGAGATGGATGGAGGGCTGAGGAGGAAGGTGGAGATGGACTGAAGGGCGAGGAGGAAGGTGGAGATGGACTGAAGGGCGAGGAGGAAGGTGGAGATGGAATGGAGGGCGAGGAGGAAGGTGGAGATGGAATGGAGGGCGAGGAGGAAGGTGGAGATGGAATGGAGGGCGAGGAGGAAGGGAGATGGACTGAAGGGCGAGGAGGAAGGTGGAGATGGAATGGAGGGCGAGGAGGAAGGTGGATATGGAATGGAGGGAGGGTGAAGATGGAATGGAGGCAGGAGGAAAGTGGAGATGGATTAAGGGCGGAGGAAGGTGGAGATGGAATGGAGGCGAGGAGAGAGTTGACGGGAAGGGGTCATGGAGTGGGAGGCTGAGAAGGGAAATGAGAAGGTTAACGGTAAACAACTTTAGTGGCAAAGCTTGGAGTACAGTTAATTCTCACTGCCCTGCAGGACAGAGGTTCATACACAAAGGAGATAATAGTATAGGTCATATTTATTTGGGTGCTATCACTGTTCACTACCATGCAGGGCAGTGGTTCATGCACAATAAGTCATATTCTACTTGAGGACTAATTTGTGTGGGCTAGCAAATTTAGGATAGACCACAAGGACGTCCTTAAGGAGAAGGAGGGGGGTTGAGGAGAGAGGAGAGAGGAGAAAGAGGGAGGTGAGGGAGAGGTGAAGTAAGAATAATTGTAAGTCAAAGGAGAATTAGAGTTAAACTGGAGAGAGAGAGAGAGAGAGAGAGAAAAAAAAAAAAAAAAAAAAAAGAAGAGTAAACGCTATTTAAAGTATAATAAGATAAATATACCAAAATAAACGACTCTAATTAACGTGATAGTAACAAGAGGACGACGAGAGACAGTTGGGTAAATTAAATGCTAGAGAGAGAGAGAGAAGACAGACAAGGAACAACAACTGTGCTAAATGAAAGCGTCAACTCGCTCTGTTTTGGGCATCAATACTGAGAAAACTACAAACTGCGGTAATGAAGTCTTCCACGAAGGAGGGAGGTGAGTGAGGCAGAGTTGATAACACGAGGGACTGAAGACGAAGGAGGAAATGTGGACAATGAAGAGGCCGGGTGTAGAGAGGGGAGAGAGAGAGAGGGGGGGGCTGGGGGTAGTGAGGTAATGAAGCAGGTTTGGACACTAAGGGTAGTAATACAATAGACACGAGAAGAATGACCAGCGGTATTTATGGGAGGAGTGGCGTGAGATGGTGAGAAGGGAGGCAGTCAAGTAGTAGGAGAGGGTGAAGGATGACCTACACCACTACACTGTAGGTAAAGGTTACACACACACACACACACACACATACACACACACACATAGTTCAGTGTGGGATATACTAATTCAGCCTTTTATTACATTCCATTTCAAGACAGCACTTCAGCCTCACAGGCAGGTAAGGGCCCAGCTGATGGTCAATGATTTCACCAGTGGGTCCACACACACACACACACACACACACACACACACACACACACCACAGTGTACACCCAGCCCTCACAGTGTCCACCCAGACCCCATACTGTCCATAGCTCCCGCAGTGTCCACCCAGCCCTCACTGTGTCCACCCAGCCTCAAAGTGTCCACCAGCCCCACAGTGTCCACCCAGACCCCAGAGTGTACACCAGCCCCACAGTGTCCACCCAGACCCCACAGTGTACACCAGCCCCCACAGTGTCCACCCAGCCGCTGCAGTGTACACCCAGCCCCCACAGTGTCCACCCAGCCCCACAGTGCCCACCCAGCCCCACAGTGTCCAATCAGCCCCCACAGTGTCCAATCAGCCCCCACAGTGTCCACCCAGCACCCACAGTGTACACAAGCCCCACAGTGTCCACCCAGCCCCCACAGTGTCCAATCAGCCCCCACAGTGTCCACCCAGACCACAGTGTACACCAGCCCCCACAGTGTCCACCCAGCCGCTGCAGTACACCCAGCCCCACAGTGTCCACCCAGCCCCCACATTGTCCACCCAGCCCCACAGTGTCTACCCAGCCCCCACATTGTCCAATCAGCCCCCACAGTGTCCAATCAGCCCCCACAGTGTCCACCCAGCACCCACAGTGTCCATCCAGCTCCCACAGTGTCCAATCAGCCCCACAGTTTCCACCAGCCCCACAGTGTCCACCTAGCCCCCACAGTGTCCACCCAGCCTCTACAGTGTCAACTAGCCCACAGTTTCACCCAGCCCCACAGTGCCAGCCAGCCCCACAGTGTCCACCACCCCTCACAGTGTCCACGCCCCACAGTGTCCCCAGCCCCAATGTCACCCAGCCTCTAGTGTCACCCAGCCCCCACAGTGTCCACCCAGCCCACAGTGTCCACCCAGCCCCCACAGTGTCCACCCAGCCTCCATAGTGTCCACCCAGCCCCCCCTTCCCCACTTAGTGTACAAACTATACACGCAGCCTCCCTCTCTGTACACGAAGCTCCTCTTGTTCACTTGGTTCAGGCCCTGGGGGAAAGGGGTGGAGGTATGAGGCAAGAGGGGAAGGTAGAAGGAAGGAGGAGGGAAGGGAGGGGGGGGAAGGAAAGAGGAGAGGGGTAGAGACAAGGTGTTATGTATTATTTTATATTTTTCAGGTTTTCAAAGTGATATTTTGGGTTGAGTCTCCCCCTCCATTTTTTTTTTCATAATTTAAATTTTTTTTCCTGTCCATATCTCTCATTTTTTTCCTCACTTTCCTTTTTATTTTTTTCTCTCACTCTCTCTTCATAATTTTCTCTCACTATTTTACCTGTTTCTTTTTTCTCACTGTCATTCTCTCACTCTCTTGATGTTTTCCTTTCCCACTTCTCTGTCCTTCTCTTTCTTACTCTCTCTTCCTTCTTCTCTTTATTTTTCTTCCTCCCCTTCTCCTTCTTTCCACTCTATGTCTCCGTTGTTCCTCCCTCCTCCTCCCCCTCTCTCTCCCTCTTTTCCTCTTTCGCCCTCTTTCTTCGAACTTCTGTCCTGCGTGGCAGTGAGAAGTGATACCACCCTCAGTGTCAAGACCTGACTGAATTACTCAGAATAGGCAAACTGTACTCCAAGCTTTGTCAATAAATTTGTTAAACTGAAAAAAAATTCTTCCCTCTTTCTATTATTCCCTCTCCTCCCTTCTTTCTCTTTCTTCCCCCTCCCTATTTACTAAATCACCTTAGTTCTTCCTCTCTTCCTCATCCTCCTACTTCTTCCTTCCACTGTCCGCCCTCTCGTCCTCTTCCTTCTACCCTACTGGTTCTTCCTCCATCTTCCCACTATTCCTCTTCTTTTTACTCATCTCCTCTTTCTTCTCTCTTTATGTCCTTCCAAGCTTCTACCTTCTTCCTTCTCTCACCTTTCTCCCTCTTTCCTTCTCCTTTCATTTCTTCACCTCAAATTTGTTTTCCCTTTCTTTCTGCATACCTTCTCCTACTTTAATTTCTCCTTCCATTCTTCTCATTTTTCCATTCATAGACCTTAAATCAGCCTTTGATGTAGCTAACAGAGACATTATACTTGAGCAACTAGCTAATTTTGGCATCCAAGGTGTCATGGGTTGCGTTAGGCTTACTCACGCAACCAACGCCAAAGTTTGTTTAACTAGAGATAAGACGACCGGCGAGGCATAACTGGGACATGTATTTTTCAATTAGTGTATGTTAGCCAGCCTTTAGGGGGGGTGTGCAGTGAAACAGTGTTGTACTGTTCATCGTTTCACACCCAAAAACCTCATTTTACGTAATATCCCCTGAGCCATGGGTTAGTTAAGACGTCGTCTCCATCCTCTCCCTCCTGAAAGGGGGCGGGACACCACACCACACAGAGTCCTCCACCGCCACTCCGCCACTCCGCCACTCTCTATGGGGTATGACTTTGTACAGGTGTTGCAGATATCCTAAAACTGAATGTCCCAAAAACCCCAGACAAAGCCTTTAATGCTATTCCCTCTTGGCTGGAGATATTAATTACACTCCCGTTACTGTAGTGGAAAGCAAATTTTAAACACCAATGTGGTGAGATGTTTTTTACTAGAAACTGTAGGATGTAATCCTAGACAAGGTTCTTGAAACTCCAGGGCACGAGCAGTAGATATATTCAACAAGTGGTACAAGACTTGGCGTGATAGCCAACCGGTACAGGAACAGGAGTCAGCACAAGGAACTCCTCGCCGTAGGCAGGCCGAAGCCGATCTGAGGGAAATTAGCTAGCTAGGCAAGGAGAGTTGCTAGACATTACTAGGACAATAAATGAGGTCTTCTAATTACTCGACTAGCGCAGTACAGACATAGTACATCAGGACATAGTAAATGGACATAGGCATTAGACATAAGCATAGACATCAGACATGCTATAATAATATGTAGTAATACAGACATGTGAATAAATGGTACAATGAATGGTGACGGAGTCTTGGCGTCAGGCGTGTTCCCATATCTTGGTATGTACATATCTATACAGAAACAGTAACAGTCACATATAGAGCATTAAATCAAATGAATGTTTACATGTCTTTGCTGATGGTTCTGTGCAGACAAACACAAATTAGAACAGGTTGTGCATGTATTATTATATATAGAAAATGAAATGATAGTGTTAAAATGCAATCGCACTGAACAACTGGGCCAGCACAACACAAACTAGACTTAGAGGAATCTACTTAGCTACAGACTACCTTAAAGAAAATGAAGGTGAGGTGATATTCTGTGACTCTAGAAGTACACTACTTTGAAATCAATGAACAGACCGCCAGGCTCTATGTCTAAAGTTGTCTGTGATATTAAAAGAAATGTGATAACCGCTCAGGAGAACTTTTGTATTTAATTTGTATGGATTTCATCCTATGTTGGAATTAGGATGCAGAGAGACCTGGCAGCTGTAGCATTAGTACAGTAAATATGACACATTTTGTGACGAGAGGTACCGGTATGGCCAGCATAAGGGCAGAACCAGACAATGTGATGTAGTCGTGGCCAGAATTAGGCTAGGATACAGACACATCTGGCAAGTTAGTAACGCTGTACCCATACCGGAACACTCGGCATGTAAACTTTGTGATAAACCTTTAAAGCATACACCCGAACACTATATTATTGAATGTGACACTGTCAAAGACTTCAGACCACCTAGCTTATTGTATCATGAACTTTGTAATTACTACATTGAATCAGGAGTGCTTGAGGGCATTCTTGCGGTCTATCCTTAATTTGCTAGCCCACATTGATTAGTCCTCAAATAGAATATGACTTATACTGTACATGAACCACTGTCCTGTGTGGCAATGCACGGCGATATTACCCTTATAAATATAACCTATACTATTAATAGATATGATCTATACTGTTATCTCTTTTGTGTATGAACTTCTGTCATGCGTGGCAGTGAGACGTGATACCACCCTCAGTGTCAAGACCTGACTGAAATCCTCAGAATAGGCAAACTGTACTCCAAGCTTTGCCAATAAAGTTATTGACCGTAACCTTCTCTTTTCTCTCTCTTCCTTATCCATCCCTTCTCTTCCTTCTTCCTCTCACTATCCCTCCGCTTCTTCCTTCTTTCACTTTACTTCCTCCATCTACCACCCCTTTCCTCCTCCTTCTCCTTCCACTCTCCTCTTTTCTCTTCCATCCTTCCTCCCTTCTCCTTCTCGCCTCTTCCCCTCTCCCCATCTTCGTGTTCCACGCTCTACGTGTTGTCTTTGTTTTATTGATACCTTTCCCTCACTCTGTTTTCATCGTCTATGCACGCTTTTATTCTCCTCTCTCTCCCACTCCCTTTCCCCTCTCCCCTTCTCCCCTCATTCTCTCTCTCTCTCTCTCTCTCTCTCTCTGTCTTTTTTCTTCTTTCCTTTGTCTTCGTCCTGCATTGCCTCTTGTTCTTCTTTTCTTTTGCCTCATCTTCGTCAGTTAATTCAGATGTTCACTTTCTCTCTGTCTCTCACACTCTTTCTCTCCAGCCCCCATTTGCCATATTGCTCTCTCTCTCTCTCTCTCTCTCTCTCTCTCTCTCTCTCTCTCTCTCTCTCTCTCTCTCAACCAGATACCTTTATCTGTCTGTCTATCTCCACTAATTTCCTTTATCCTGTCTGTTTGTCTGTTTGTCTGTTTGTCTGTCTGTCATACATTCTCCCATCTTTCTCATCTTCCATAACCCATTTCCCCCCAAAAAAAAGGAAAACAAAAAACTATCCCTTAATTCTTCACTTATCGCCCCCCGTCCATGACCGAGCACCACAACACAAGTCGAAAGTTAATTCCTAATAAAAGCATCACCAAGTCTCATTGTTTTACCGGAGTTAATACTATATGAAAATCCCATCTGTTAGGGGGATTACAATGAGGATTTAACACCAATTTAAGGATTTTACAACGAGTGGGATAGAGTGTTTGGTTGCAGGTAGTGTTAGTGCCACCATTAACCTGAGATTTAGTGGTATAAATATATTACTGGGAGAGGATGTTGTCATTGATGATAATTATTAGTATTTTCTTTTCGTGTGCTGTGATGATGATGAGGCTATGATAATGATGATGATAATGTAATAATGATGATGATAATGAGCATATACTGTATACTAAGAATAATAAGGATATATATATGGTAGTATAGTATATGCCATCAATAAAATTAAAACAAAAAGTAATAATAGCCGTAGTTATGATTCTAAAACTGAAATTATTAATAAAATAGAAGAAATAATAATAACAATAACAAAATAATAATAATAGCAAAAAGAATGATAATAATAACAATAACAACATCAATAAAGATAACATAATCAACAATAACATAGAGAGGAATAAGATACGCGAAAGGAAATAAAAAGAATCAAAACAAGAGTTACAGAGGAGACCAAACTACACAAATAGTAGATGGATAAGAGAAGGAAAGTTGGAAGAGAAAAAACAAGATAATTAAGTTAATTCTCTGGAAATTCTTCTGGTAGGTGACAATTGACTAATGAGCTCAGGTGAGAGATAAGAGAAAAGAGAGACAAAGATAGTACGAATGAAAGAGAAAGAGAGAGTGAAAGAGGGAAAGGAGAAAAATATAATAAGAGAATAGAGAGAAAACTACGAGAAAGATAAAAAGATCAGAAATTAAAAAAAGAGATTTGAAAGGAGAAAGAAAATAAGATAATAAAGAGAGATATAAATTTTTCTGAATTTTGCCGCGGACAACAGCTAGTTTATTGTGCACCCCATACTCATCCTGTGAGCGTTAGAGCAAAAAGGATTACAGAGTAGAGGCCACACAGGGTGTTTATCAGACCCCAGTGATTTTAATATTATGGCATTGAATGTTACAGAGATACACAGTGTGCTTGGATCTATCTCCATAAGGTCCTATTTTTTCACAGTTTAAGACATAGTGTTGGAGTGTGTGGTCAAGAGGA